TCTCGCCATTGGGTAGGACAATTCCCAGTGGGATCCTTTCGACATTGGGTCTTCTTGAATTGGTTGGTCAGGTGGAACCCTCTGCGCGTCTCAGCGAGGATATGCTTCTTTTGGAAGGGGTGCCGAGCTGGAGCAGGACGCTGCACCAGTCAAGCAAGCACCGATGTACCCCATCATCGTGCTGTTAGCTTGCGAGTTGGTGGTGTGTGACCCCTCAGCCTGCCTCGGAGCGCGATTCTATTCTTCTGTGTTATTGCTGTTGGTGTGGGCAACTCTGCGAGTGGATGACCTGCAGAATTTCAACCCTGCCAGCGTTTTGCTTTCGCAAATTGGTTTGAAGTTCACCCTGGACAGGACAAAGACGTCTGGGGCCGGCAAGCATGTAGGCAAGCTCCGGGCTTTTGTCATGCGAGGCATCAGTCTGTCTGGTTTCGACTGGATTGGCTATGGCTATCGTCTGCTGGGCACTGAGTCACTCAAGTTCGAGCGCGACTATTTCTGTGGTCGTTTCGGAGAGGATTGGAGCACGCCTCTAAAGGGCTACATCAACAGTGAGGAAGTCTCGTTGCATGTCAGGAGCTTGCTTCAAAGATTGCCTCAGCCCATATAGAGGAATGGGAAGTGGACATATGTTCGCGACAACATGCTTCTTCCTGAGGTGGTGATCCCGTATTTTACGGACCACTCGGGTAGGCACACACTGCCGCGCTGGCAGCGGCCGCTAAGGTGGCTAAGGAGCAGCGTGATTATTTGGGTCGATGGTCAGCAGCTAAGCATACATGCATGGCTTTCAAAGTTTTCGGTCACTGATGGTTTTCAGCGTGAGATGACTCAACTGGGTGCCGATTCGGTTTCCCCTGGTGACCTTCGTGTTCAGGCTCGCTCGGATCGCATTTGTTCCGAGCTCGCGGCTAGCAAATGGGACGTTCTTTTGATGTCACCGCCGAACTCTACGTTTTCTCGTGCACGTAACAGGCACAACGGTCGCTATGCCCCAAGACCACTGCGAGATGTGACTTACTCTTGGGGTTTTCCTTGGTTGCGTAATGCTGATAAGGATCGTGCCTCAGAAGAGAATTTCTTTGTGAAGCAATGCTTGAAGGCTGCAGCTGCGCAGAACCAGGTGGGACTCTTTTGGCTGTTCATACACCCTGAGGATCTTGGCCTTGCTGCATCAGGCTTGCGACCAGCTAGTGTTTGTCAACTTTCAGAAATGCGAGCTCTCATTCCTGAGGATGGTTGTAGTTTCGCATTACACCTTTGCACTTTCGGTGCTGCTTCAGCGGCACTCACACACATCGCCGGGCGCCTACCTGCTTGGAAACATTTGCCAGTTCAGTGGCCTTCGTTCGACTCAGGCGGCAGTTACTTAGGTCCCCTTCAGCGGTGTCTCATGCATAATCATGCATCTTCAGTCGGTTGGGACGGGCATGAGTGGCGCACCGCTGCCGGTGCTGCATATCCTGATGCCTTTTCTGAGTTTGTTGCGAGGGCCACTGCATCGCTGTCGTCACATGTGCTCGCAACTGATACTTTAGCATTGCCTGAGCTGCCGCATGCTGCTGAATCCTTTGCATTGGAGTTGTTAGCTCATCCCGAGGTGCGTGCCCAGGATTCGGCTACTCTGTTCCATTTGCTGCCGCACGAATCGCCACATGTTGGCGCTCAGGCTGACGCGGGTTTCGCTTTCTTTACAGGTGCATACAGTCATGGTGGCGTTGTTGGGCTCCGCGCCAACACCAGTGCTTTCCCTCACTCTACCAAGGTTCTCTCCCGATTCCTCCGCAGCGCGTGCGAGACCTTCAAATTTCCATCATGCGCTCTGTTCTTCAACGTTGCTACAAGGCCGCATCGTGACGCTCGAAATGCCAGCAGCACAAACTTAGTGGTCCCGGCGTCATCTTTTGAACGGGGCGACATATGGTGCGAGGACCCTGCTGGGCCCACGCCGTTTCAGCGTGTACGTGTCCTTGCGGAGGAGCAGGAGGTAGCACCTGCGTTCTGGGAAGGATCTAGTCTGCAGCAGAGACACACACGCACGCACACACACACACACACGCACGCGCGCACACATACGCAGGTGCTTGTGGTAAGGTTGTTGTCTTGGCAAATGTCGCGGTAATGGCTCGCAGGTGCTTGTGGTAAGGTTTTTGTCTTGGCAAATGTTGCGGTAATGGCTCGCAGGGGCTTGTG